ATAGTTGTATCGATACGATCGTACTCCCAGTCTAGGAGAGAAGTACAGTTGACTGAGTTGAACCCATCGGTCGATCGTATCGATTGAACACGATCGATAAGATCGTACTCCCAGTCTAGGAGAGCAGTAGAGTTGACTGAGTTGAACCTATGTGTCGATCCTGATTACGATCGTATCGATTGAACACGATCGATACGATCGTACTCCCAGTTTAGGAAAGAAGTAGAGTTGACTGAGTTGAACCTATGTGTTGATCCTGATTACGATCGTATCGATTGAACACGATCGATACGATCGTACTCCCAGTTTAGGAAAGAAGTAGAGTTGACTGAGTTGAACCTATGTGTCGATCCTGATTACGATCGTATCGATTGAACACGATCGATACGATCGTACTCCCAGTCTAGGAGTGCAGTAAAATTGACTGAGTTGAACCCATCTGTCGATCATGAACTCTATATAACATATATAAAAATGTTACAACAATCGATTGAATTGACAAGACACACGATCGTAAACAGTAGATAGTGAATTGACATAGTAATTGAAAAAGTGTCGATTGAATTGATTGTCGGATACTGTACCTGTGTCTTCAACAGTAGTACACGCTTTGCATTTAGGTCTATAACATGGTTTGCATCCTCTATAAAAAGCACTGCCAATAACAGGCACAAAACTCCAAAATATAAATATAAGCAATAATACCTACCTACTCACATTCGATGTTATTAGTCTACATCCTAATATTCCTATACCAGAAGGAATAGAAGCCCTTAAAGTAGCTTGTGAAGAAGACAGCAATTTACAACCTAAAGAAATTGATGCCATCCTTCAACTAGCAAATTTTATACTTACTAACAATGAATTTGAATTTAATAGAAAATTTTACCATCAAATCAGTGGAACTGCAATGGGGACCCCGTTCGCAGTTACGTATAGTAATATTTATATGACTTATTGGTTAGAAAAATATTGGAATCATTTACCTAATAGGCCGGATGAACACTTTTGATTTATCGATGATATATGGGCCATTTCTTCGTCTACCTTGGAAGAATGCCAAAATTTTCTAATAACCCTCAACCAACAGCACCCTAAAATCAAATTCACTATGAATATCTGTAATACTAAAGTCTCATTTTTAGACGTTAAAGTCATCAATCATCACAACAAACTAGAAACTAATTTATTCTGCAAAGAAACAGCTAGTCATCAATATCTTAAAACATCCAGCTGTCATCCTCATCATATCTTCAATTCCATAGTTTACAGTGGGGCCATCCGCATTAAGTGTATTTGCAGCAAACCTGAATGGACCAGCTACCATTTAACTAAATTTGAAACCTACCTTAAACAATGCGGATATAAAACTAAAACTATCAAAAAAGAATTTAACAAAGTCCATCAAAAAACCAGAAATGAATTACTGCAATATAAAATCAAAGATATCAATAACCTAATTTACATACTTTAGCGCAAGATACCTCGATTTTAGAGACTAGCGCACGTACCTCTAAATTATTGGATGAATCAAAAATCGTAATATCCCTGAAGAAATGTAAGACTATTGGTCAATTGATACAAGTGAATAGACTGAAAACACCTGAAGTGCCTGTTATTGGCAGTGCTTTTTATAGAGAATGCAAACCATGTTATAGACCTAAATGCAAAGTGTGTACTACTGTTGAATCCACCAGTCACATTACCAGTATAGACTTAAAAAAATTTCATATTAAGGCTAATTGTTTAAATTGCCATAGTTCTAATGTTATATATTGTATAACTTGTGAGTTTTGTAAGAAACAGTATGTTGGCCAAACTATCACCCCCTTTAGTACCAGACTTAATAGTCATAGAAGCAACATTAAATTGAAAAAGATTGGAAAATCACCTCACATAGACCCAGACTTTAATACACCTGGTCATGAATTTTATGTCTGCACTGTACTCGATAAAATATCTCAGAATGATAGAGCCAAACTCAATATTGCTGAATCACTTTGGATCCACAGATTAAATACTGTATGGCCTAGTGGTTTAAATGAAATGCCTGTAAATTAATTCTTCACCCATTTTTTAACTATATATTATTTAGCTTATTCTTTATATTATGTCATCAAAGCTATGACGTCATATTAACATTATGACATCACTTGTTACCATGACTAACCTTGTACTGCAACTGTATCATTTGTGTAGCTTGTATTCTCTGAAGAAGTAGGTTTTTAGACTTACGAAACGTTAAGATACTATAAAAGATGGTTTTGTGATACCCATGACTTTGTTTTTAACCACTCCTACTACTGGTGTCACCGTATCAAGTTTATTATGACTTAGATCCCATCTAAGTTTATGTTATTCAAATGGTTTTGGATTCCTCTCCCTTTATATATTTGGATTCACATGAAAGTGTGGGCGTATAAAAATCACATACACAAGTTATTTCCCTTCAGGTGAGTGAGCATCAAACTCCAATTTGGGCATAAAGCAGTGAGGCTTCTTAAATTCAAACAAATTTTTATTTTGTGTTTCCAAAGTCAACATTTTGGAGTTATTGGATGCTATTTTGGAGATATTGGGCAGTTATTGGGTGTTATTGGGCAGTATTAAAAAGTTTTTACCAAGTTCTAAGAAAATCATCATTTAAATCAACATGAACTCATTTCCCGCTAATTTACCCCCATCCCCTTCCACACACCCACAAATCAAAACATATACACTTAGAGATGGACAGTCCTAGAAATTTATGTCAACATAATCACATTTTCCTCCAATTGTAGACTTTGGACCCTCCACATCCTGAAAATGCCCCCTCAAATGCCTGATCACCACCCAGATTCGGAATCTACGCAAAAAGACTGGTCTAGAAAAACTTGGTTTCATGATTTTACAGCTCGGGTGGCGATTCCCCTTTTTCAGCCACCAGATTAAAAGGGAGAAGATGAACCACCCTCTCTTCTCACGACAGGGATTTTATAAGTGTGTTTTAAGGTGACTTTTTGATATACAAGGACTTTTTTTATTTGTGTTTTTACTAATTTTCAACCCATTAAGTGTAAATAATTTAATAAAATCATAAGCATGATATACTATTCAAAAAAAGTAGGGGATATTTGATTTTGGGGGCATAATACTAAAATATGCAAATGACTACGAAAAAAGTCACTATAGAACCTAACAGAAGAAACATTTCCAGTTACATGTGACGCCCAAACGCACCAATAGCTACCGCATGGAATGCAGGTGATGCTTGGGATCATCATGGGGGTCCAACCCAAGATTTGCACGACTCTGACTTTGAATGTTACAGTCATTGTGGCATTGAATTCCAGGGTGGAAACATCAGTTTAATTGTTTTAGTGACCAGAAAACAAATTTTGATATGCGTCGGCTTACCCAAAATGAAAGGTTACGTGCCCTTGGCATGCTACAGATCGGCACAACACAGGCGGTTGTGGCGCGGACGATGAATGTTTCTCAGTCTGTCATAAGCAGGCTATGGTCCAGATACCGTGATACACAATCTGTACAGGACAGACCACGCTCAGGTCGACCAAGGGCGACAACTCAAGCCCAGGATCGATTTATCCGTACCTTGGCCTTGAGAAATCGTGTCATCACAGCAAATCAGATCAGCGCTCATCTTCAAACAGACACTGGTGTGAGAGTGAGTGGCCAGACGATTCGGAATCGACTGCATAGGGGTCACCTTCGCGCCCGACGTCCTCGCGTGATCCCTTGTTTGAGAGATCATCACATTCAGGCAAGACGTCGTTGGTGTAGGGATCGTCAACACTGGGATAATCGACGCTGGAGCAATGTGATGTTTTCAGATGAGTCAAGGTTCACTGTTGATTTTTTGGACAGACGTAGGAGGGTGTGGCGTTGTCGAAACGAGCGCTTCCAAGACGTTAACGTCATCAGACATGATCGATTTGTCGGTGGTTCTGTTATGGTGTGGGGAGGCATCACTGTTGTTGAAAGAACGGCTTTACATGTTGTTGCAGGGCGTGTTACAGGCCAGTACTACCGGGACAACATCTTGGCAGTCCATGTTGTGCCGTTCGCACGACGTCATGGCCGCCGTTTCATCTTCCAGGATGACAACGCAAGATGTCACAGGGCCAGGATCGTTACAGGTTACCTCCAACAACAGAACATCACCACATTACCTTGGCCAGCACTGAGTCCTGACCTCTCCCCCATCGAGCATGTCTGGGACATGCTTGGACAGAGGTTACGTCAACGTCAACAACGTCCTGCCAATGTCCAAGAACTTGCTGCTGCGTTGCAACAGGAATGGGACAATCTGGACCAAAATGACCTTAGACGTCTCATTAGGAGTATGCCACGTCGGATCAATGCTTGTTTGGCAAACAGAGGAGGATTTACCCGTTACTGACTTGGTTGTGATGCTGTGGTAACTTTGCTGTTTGACCCCGGGTATCATTTTACCCTTATAATGGTCAGTCTGTGCCTTACTTAGTCTAACGATCATTTGGAATAAATCGATGAATGTGAACTTCATTTCATTTTGTCATTTGTTTCTTCGCCAGTTTCATTAGGTGACTTTAATAACACTTAAAAATCAAATATCCCCTACTTTTTTTGAATAGTATATCTAAAGCCAACTTCAAGTTTGGTCAAAGGTCAAGAGATGTAAACAGGGCTTGCACTAATCCCAACCCTAACTGTAACAGTGGACCTAGCCCTAACCTACAATCTCGCAAACAATCACGAGCCCTAACCTTGAGTTGGCCTTAAGAAATAGATCTAGCCACTGATCAGGGACCACCGCACACTGGCAGAAGTAGGTATAGTTTTTTTTATGTAAACAATAGTGTCCAGGAGCAAACACACACTGGGGGTCAATCCAAACTGTTTTCTTGCAAACCACATTCGTTTTTCAGAGTTTACGTTTTCAGGGTTCCAATGCTTGCATAACCAGGGTACCGTTCTTTTTTCTTTGTGTATATTGGCACACCAAAACTTTGATTTCAACATATTTTATTATTTCAAAGAAAAATCTATAAATATATTTGCACTCATACATAAAAATAGAAAAACACCATTGTCACATTTGATACAGATAATTTAATAATAAATAGTCAAACTTAACTGACCTTATATGTCAACATATGCCAGGTCATACAATACATGATTTAATTACCAGTAATATTATTAAGGAATATTTTACAGAAAAATTGTTTAGTAGTGAACATGTCAATTATAGTCCACTCTTATTCAAATCAGAGTCATATGTCTGGTGATAACCACTCATAAAACAAAACCAATAGCTTTAAAGGAGCTAAGTCTCTAACTCTATATTTTCCATAATAATATTTGAAATTAAGACAACAAATTAGAATTTAATATTGATCAATTTAAATCAATATTGATGTTGTTATCTTGCAGTTAAACTATAGAATCCTAATATCCAATATTTAAGACACAATTAACATTTTATAATCAGTACACAAGTCGTGTACCCTATGGTTTTAGGTGCCATTTTGTAATGAACAAATAAAAACATATCCTACAACACAATGTGGAAGTAATTAGTAAAGGCTGATTCACAAACAACAAAATAATAATTTCAAAAACGTGTAGAATGCACTAAGCAGATGTAAACGACTATCATTAAATTTCAACTGTTCACATATTTATTCACCCCAGAATTATGTTGATAAAACAAGCCAACAGTGAGGCTGATGTCTACCGCCGAAATCCCAAAATAAATATATGACACATATTAATTAATCGCACATTTATTTTTTTCAAAAGTATCGAGCATTCAAATTTCATCACTAAGTTTCATCACTCTCTATCAGATAGAATCAAAGTTATCTTGTCCCAAAGCATTGACCAATGAAATTGCTTATCTCTGCTTAGCTTTAGCTCGAAATGTTAATCATTAAACTCAGTCAAGACATTCACCTAATGAACATCTGCATCTGCATCAAGTTTAAACATTCTACCTCAATTAAAAGCAGTGTAATATTTTGTGACTTACTATGTTGAACCACCAAACACTCAAGTAGATGAGCTGTAGTAGTGACGTGTTGTATGTTTGGTAGCTGTATAATAAGTGACTCGTTTAACATCAGTTACCTCACACTAATCACTTGACCTTTATAAAAACACTCAATTACAACATTCCTCCCTGTTTTGTTGGCACTTGGTCAGGATAAGGGTACAGAAGGGAATCTTACAACACATCAGGGAACCTCATACAGGGACCAAACATCTTGTTAAAATCAGTACGGTATGTACAATAAAACTGAACGCTATCTACACAGTAAAATCATTAAAACTTCTGGCGAAGACTTCAGGTCAGAGTCAAAACATCCTTCAACGCATGCTCAAAGAATGAATCAGCTGGAACCAATTCATCAACTGTAAGGTAAGTCTGTTATCTTCCAGAACATCATTGATTCCAAGGGAATAGATTCCAGGCAGGGGGAAACAACACCAGTTTCTAGACCTGGAAATGAATGTCTGTGTCGCTCCAACCATAATGGAAAGTAGTTCAAGCCTTGCTTGATCCGATCACGGTGGATAACTATTTGTTGTTTTCTGGCATCCAACCGATACAATATGAGGTTTGCAGCAATACCAAGATAATGATCTTTCCAAGGAGGTGGCAACTTCATACTCTGTTCAGTCTTGTAGTATGTTCAGTCTTGTAGTACGAATCAATGACATACCCAACATCACCAAGCACGAATCTGATGTTATGCCACAAAAACCTGCAACCAAAGATAACCAAGTGGCAGAGATCTCCTTTGTACATTCTTGGATGCTTATTTCTGCGCTGGTATAACAGGAGACCCAGCTACGGTCACTCATCTCTGACACAACCAGCACCATAGGAAAGTTGGCACACCTTCCAATCGTTCTCACCTACTTGTGTATCAAAACTGTTGTAGGGCTCCAGTCAGAATGAGATGGCATAACATTTTTAGCACCAGTTTCGACTCCTGTCTGAACATCAACTTTGGTATCAGGATCTACAGAACCTTGTCCTAAGCAGACAAAGCAATTAGAGTCTTTCGCAAATCCAGCACTGGTTACGCTGGAAATATTTGCTTCGGAAGAAGGTATGCGATTTACGGAAGCAACAAGAATCTCTTCTCCTACGGAAAAGGCACCATTCATCACACAGTTATTCTGTACTGGAGAGTACAATCCAATAGTGACATGGTCAAACATGGGAACCACACCAAAATCCAAGAAAGAACTTACAAATGTTGTAGTATTACCAGGTAATAAATTACCAGAAAACGGCTCAGAATCGATTCCCTTCAATCGAACAGCTTTTCCTAGCTCTACTTTCTCCACCCCATTCAAAAAGGATGCTGATATCACTGCATCAGTTTGCTGTTCAAACAAGTAGAAATTGATTGCCACTGTGAGTGTTGATCCGCAATGGCACCACATGGTGAAGCAGAGCGAAGACAAGACCAAGATGGTGACATGGACAACTGGCCAGAAGAGCGGTCAAACGTGTTGCATGCATCTTGAGATGAATGGATATAAGGGTTAGGAGATGGAGACAGGCTACAATCAGAAGAATTGCGATCATCTGAATTCTGATACCCCCGATTGGGCACTGAAGAGCGGAATCTTTAAAAGGGATGTCCGGGTGTAAGTGTATTCTGTTGAATGAACCGTGTGTCATAACGCAGCATAGTCTGTTGAATATCGAACATTGCTGGTCTGTCAGCAACACCGCGAACTTTAAAGGTTGATATTGTCTCCGTCTGTTGCATCAGAACAGGTTTAACCCCAAAAGCTGATAGTAATTGTGTATGGTGATCACGATTTCTAGATGATGAAAATTGCCATTGAGCAGCAGCATCACCTGGAGAATGCCGAGGAGTCCAAGGAAGTTTGCAGGAAGGCGAGTTATGACCAGACCTGGACTGTGACCTGAAGGACTGACCATAGACCGGAGGCTCAGCGCGGGGGCGGTGTCCATCAAATGGGCACAAAACGAGACCCAACTTTTCAAGAGTAAAATTTTGGTAGAATACGATGCCGAGTGGTAATCAGTCCGACGTTGGGGCTTTTTCGAGATATTTGGGGTCAAAGGTCAAATGAGTTCATTTGCACTGAAAGTGAATCCGCAGTCATTCTTGTATTAGGAAAAGAAGGTGAAAATGATCGGAAGTAATCACACTTTCAATAAAAATGTAAACTTGCTATCTCGAAAATGCGGACTGATTACCACTCGGCATCGTATTCTACGCAAAATTTTACTCTAGAAAAGTTGGGTCCGGTTTTGTGCCCATTTGATGGACACCCCCCCACGCTGAGCCTCCAGACTACCATAAGGGTGGTCAAACCTTTTACGTGAATCCTGAGATGGATAGGCATACAGATTGGGAGATGGAGACCAGCTGCGATCCGAAGAATTACGACCACTTGAATTCTGATGTCCCCGAAACGGCATTGGACAGCTTAATCTATAAAAGGGACGTTGAGACTCAAGCAGCTTGTGTTGGGTGGACCGCGTATCATAACGCATCATACGAGTGTCACACATTGCATCCTTAATCCAAGCTACATCCTTCCGCAATTGTGGAAAGAGAGTCCGAGCATGAGCTGGTCTTTCAGTAATGCCACAAACTTCATTGGCTAGTGGTGACTCGGGCTGAAATGAAACTTGTCACTGGTGCAGGGGGGGGGGGGGAGAGTCCTGCACCAACATCAATAGTTGCCGTCCTCAGGGTATAAGGAAGAAGTATACCAAGTTCCAAGATAATCCATTCAGAATTGTGGCCTTCGGGCGCTAAAGGCAAAAATTAGGCATGGCTCTGCCCCTGGGGGTCAGGGCATCCACCAAAATCAATAGTCACGTTTAAACTGGACAAAGACTCCTTTGTGTACTTTACCAAAGATGTAGACAGTTCACTAAGTGAACGATTCTTAACCCTACCCATGAATGAATAGTTAGAGGCTGATATTTCATTCAGTGACTTTCCTTCCAACTACAAGAATTGTGGCGCGTAGAGTTCATCTCATCGCAATGCCAAGTCCGATTATTATACCAATAACAAGTGGAACATAGACTGTAACTGATAGGACTTAAAGAACCGACTTGAAAAAGTCAGCAAAAATATTAATTTATAATTCAGATAAGAATTAAATAAGTTTTCGTGACTTACTATGTTGAACCACCAAACACTCAAGTAGACGGGCTGTAGTAGCGACGTGTTGTATGTTTGGTAGCTGTATAATAAGTGAATCGTTTAACATCAGTTACGTCACACTAATCACGTGACCTTTATAAAAACACTCATTTACAACAGCAGAGTTGTTATGTTCCAAAATCTTGACCAATCAAATTGCGTATCGCTCCTTAGCCAAAGCAGAAAATTCTCATTAAACTTAGTCAAGGTAATGATATAATGAATCTATACTAGGAGTTTCATATAGCTCTCACTTAATTATAACCAAAGTTATTGTGTCCCAAAGAATCAACCAATCAAATTGCTTATCTCTGCTTACGCTAAGCAGAAAATGCTCATCTTCGAACTCCATCAAGACATTCACCTAATGAACGCCAAACCAAATTTGAACATTCTACCTCGACCAATCAAATTGCTTATCGCTCTGCTTACCCTCGGCAGAAGATGTTCATTATCGAACTTAGGTATATTGATGTAATGAAACTACACACCAAGTTTGATCATTCTCACTTAATCAGAAGTAAAGTTATTGTGTCCCAAAGCATCAACCAATCAAATTGCTTATCTCTGCTTTCCCTTAGCAGAAAATGCTCATCTTCAAAGTCCATCAAGGCATCGACCTAATAAACACCTACACCAAGTTTAAACATTCTAGCTCAATTAGAAGGAGAGTTATTGTGTCCCAAAAAGTGTGACAGATGGACAGACAGACAGATGGACGGACAAACCCATTTAAATAGTCAACTGCTTTCTTCGACAGGCGGGGGACAACAAGATTACTTTAGGCCTACAGATAATAAATATTGGAGGCACATGCACAAGAATTTGAAAAAAGTACAAATCTAACCCGAAATACTTTTAAATCTTTTAAAAGTTACACTTGACAAAATGTATCTTCCAACCAAGTTAGTTGAATGATCCCCCATAGTTCCTGGTGGACCAGAATGTTTTTTCACTTACAGACCCTTGGTACATTTGTGAAGTAGTGATGTCATCGGGATATTAAGTCAGAATGTCTTGTCTTATCTCATTCCTTTAGATTTACAATGTCTTTGTACCTAGCATATGAAAATATGGTAAATGAGCCAGATATTCTATTTTGGTAATATATTCTGGTACTGTCTGAAAAAAGAAATTAAAATATTTAATTAAAGTTACCTATCCATCAAATCCATCTATTAAATTGCAACATTATAGGACATGTTATAAATAGTTTTATAATAGTATGATATATGTTGGTGCTGTGTCTATTTAAACAATGGGATCATTTACAAAAAAACATATCAAACTTGATGGATTATAGCACTAACCACAAATGCCAAATTTTAAAAAAAATATACCCACAAAGTATTTATTTTAAGGTGTTTGAAAAAAAAACCCAACAAGAACAAGCTTTGTTTAAATGTTGTATAATATAACATAAAAATGTCAAGATGATTATAAATTTGCCTACAGTGCATAAAACCACCGTTTATATATATTCATCTGTTGTACAAAATTGACCAAACTTAATATCTGAATTTCTAAAACATACCAAATTTATTGAACATATGATTCTATTCCACAATGTTGAATCCAATTTTAAGTTTTTTTCAAAAACTGTTGATAAAATTTCTTGGAGAGAATTCACTGAAATACTACCCCTTTGGCTTGTATCTACACGCTGAAATAATTCCTGAAAATTAGAAGAAAAAATTAGGACCAGATCAGGAGAAAAATTGCACAGTTGACACTTTGATGTAAATATCTGTTTCAATATTGACTCAACTTAAGCCTTGATCATCCTGAACAATTTTAAATAAGCGGTTGCCATGCAAGATACGCCCACATTTTGCAAGAGATGGACAGAGAACAAGCTAAAAAAAAGAGAAAAAAAAAGCGATTTTTCATACAATTAGCGGCTATAATCCAGGAAGTTAGAGTCTGATACGTGCATGTATGGAAAGGAACCAATACACCGTATTTTAAGTTTCATTAAAATCAAAAAACCAGCGGCTGCCAGGCAGGATACGCCCACATTTTGCAAGAGATGGATAGAGAGAGAGAGAGAGAGAGAAATGGGGTTTAACATCCACTCGACACAAACTAGGTCATTTCGGGACTAACATACGGGTTATTTTTTTTACTTCAATAATTCGCTTGCGCGTAGGGGTCTTTAGCAGTGGGAGGAAACCGGAGGACCCGGAGAAAACCCACGAGGTTAGATGGATAGAGAACAAGCTAAAAACAAACAGGATTTTTTGTACAATCAGGGGCAATAATCCAGAAAGTTATGGTCTGAAATGCCCAAATATCAAAAGGGACTGAGATCTTTGGGATATAAAGATATGTTTTAAGTTTTATCAAAATCAGATAAAAATTGTGACCTCTAGAGGGTCCACAACCTTTGTAGCATACTTTTACACAATTTGCGTACAAAGTGTGGCCATTTTGTCCGGCAGTTTCATTTGGATTTTCCCGAAATTCAAATTCAACCTTCATTATGGTGGAGTGGTGATATATTTAAACGGTTTTTATACACCCACATTGAAATGTGGTTGTATATTGTCGTCGCCCCCGTCCGTCCGTCCGTCCGTCTATAGGCCAAAGTTAATATCTGATTGACTTTAAATTTATACACAGTGTTTAAGGTCATGAGAAGAAAAAGCCTATTGATTTTCAGCGATTTCCGATAATTACTGCCAGAGTTATGGCCCTTGATCACTTCAAAAAATCTTGTGGACGCTCTAGGGGCCAAAGTTAATATCCGATTGACTTTAAATTTATACACAGTGTTTAAGGTCGTGAGACGAAGAATCCTATTGATTTTCAACGATTTCCGATAATGACTGCCAGAGTTATGGCCCTTGATCACTTCAAAAAATCTAGTGGACACTCTAAAGGCCAAAGTTAATATCCGATTGACTTTAAATTTATACACAGTGTTTAAGGTCATGAGACAAAGAATCCTATTGATTTTCAACGATTTCCGATAATTACTGCCAAAGTTATGGCCCTTGATCACTTTGTGACGCTCTAGAGGCTAAAGTTATCATCTGATTGACTTCAGATTGAGATCTTAAGATCTTGAGACGAACAAGTATATTGATTTTCAATGAATATTTAAGTCTTGAACAGCTAAATCCATGATATTAAAAGTTTTGTATACAAAACGTTAGCATGGGGCAGAACTTTATTAAAAGAAACAAATTCTAATGGTTTTCTGATAATTACTTCATGAGTTGTCAGATTTTAGTGTATTATAAATGTTTCATTACCGAAAAAAGTAAAAATATGCGACAACTCTTGTTGACTGCCTGGACGATTAAGCTGTTGTGGACGTATGTTTCGTTGTCTTTCAACCTATCTTTAAAATCGGAAAGGTAACAAGAGCATCGCTAACGCAGCAATATACGTCCACATTCCTGTTTTGTTTGATATGGTCCAGTTTGCATTGAGGGTCTGTGAAATAAAACTGGGTTGTAGGACTGCTATCAGTTTAACACTTCGTTCACATTAACAGAACACAATTTTTATTTTAAAACAATCGATGTCTTTATTCCAAAAAAATGACGTTTCGAATAGGTATGCAAAGTTTCAAAAGAATCTGTTAAGAATTGCGGTCTGTAGGCAAAACACAAGACACACAAACATTAGGTGTGGCTCTGTCCCAAGGGGTCGAGCATGCACCAAAAATAATAATAGAGGTCGGCCTTAGGATTAAGGAATAAGTATAAAAAGTAGCCTTAGGCTATAAGGAATAAGTATAAAAAAGTTTTCAAGATGATCGATTAAGAAATGCGGTCTGAAAGTGACACACAGACATAAAAAAAGAAAATGGGCGTAGCTCTGCCCCTGGGGGTTGGGTATTCACCACAAATAATAGGGATGTTCCTTAGGATAGAAGGAATATGTATGCTAGGTTTCAAGGTGATACGATAAGAAATGCGATCTGTAAATATAAGGGATGGGCGTGGCTCTGCCCCTGGCGGTCGGGCATGCACCAAAAACAATAGGGATCATCGTTAGGGTATAAGAAATTCATATGAAATTTTTTCAAGACGATTGATTAAGAATTGTGGCCTGTAGGTGACACACAGACATAAAAAGAAAAGGAAATGGGCGTGGCTCTGCCCCTGGAGGTAAAAAAACAATAGGGATCATCGTTAGGGTATAAGCAATTCATATGAAAAAATTTAAAGACGATTGATTAAGAATTGTGGCCTGTAGGCGACACACAGACATAAAAAAGAAAATGGGCGTGGCTTTGCCCCTGGGGGTTGGGCATGCACCCAAAACGATAGGGATGTTCCTTAGGGTACAAAGAATAAGTATGCAAAGTTTCAAGATGATACGTTAAGAAATGTGGCCTGTAGACGACAAACAAACAAATACAAAAAATGGGGGTGGCTCTGCCCCGGGGAGGCGAGCATGCACTAAAAACAATAGGGATCATCCTTAGGGTATAAGGAATAAGTATGTAAAGTTGATACGTTAAGAAATGCGGTCTGTAGATGACAAACAAATAAATAAATATAAGGAATGGGCGTGGTTCTGCCCCTGGGGGTCGGGCATGCACCAAAAACAATAGGGATCATACTTAGGGTATAAGCAATTCATATGAAAATTTTTCAAGACGATTGAATAAGAATTGTGGCCTATAGGCGACACACAGACATAAAAAGAAAAGAAAAAGTTCGTGGCTCTGCCCCTGGGGTCGGGCATGCACCCCAAACGATAGGGATGTTCCTTGGGGTACAAAGAATAAGTATGCATAGTTTCAAGATGATAAGTTAAGAAATGCGGTCTGTAGATGACAAACAAATAAATAAATATAAGAAATGGGCGTGGCTCTGCCCCTGGGGGTCGGGCATGCACCAAAAACAATAGGGGTCATACTTAGGGTATAAGCAATTCATATGAACATTTTTCAAGACGATTGATTAAGAATTGTGGCCTATAGGCGACACACAGACATACAAAGAAAAGAAAATGGGCGTGGCTCTGCCCCTTCGGGTCGGGCATGCACCCCAAACGATAGGGATGTTCCTTAGGGTAGAAAGAATAAGTATGCATAGTTTCAAGATGATACGTTAAGAAATGTGGCCTGTAGACGACAAACAAACAAATACTAGAAATGGGCGTGGCTCTGCCCCTGGGGGTCGGGCATGCACCAAAAACAATAGGGATCTTCCTTGGGGTATAAGGAATAAGTATACCAAGTTTGAAGAAAATCCAGTAAGAATTGCGCCCTGTAGGCGACACAAAGACACACGAAAAGAAAATGGGCGTGGCTCTGCCCCTGGGGGTTGGGCATGCACCCCAAACGATAGGGATGTTCCTTAGGGTACAAAGAATGTGTATGCAAAGTTTCAAGATTATTAGTTAAGAAATGTGGCCTGTAGACGACAAACAAACAAATACTAGAAATGGGCGTGGCTCTGCCCCGGGGGGTCGGGCATGCACCAAAAACAATAGGGATCTTCCTTGGGGTATAAGGAATAAGTATACCAAGTTTGAAGAAAATCCATGAAGAATTGCGCCCTGTAGGCGAACCACAGACACACACACACACACACACACACACACACATACATACATACACACACACACACACACAGACAGGGGCGACGGCATAATACGTTCACATTATGAATGTGGACGTATAAAAATGAGATTTTTCAAACAATCAGGAGCCATAATCCAGGAAGTTACGGTGTAACTGTGATATATTTGAACTTTTTTTTAAATCGAATAACAATTGTGACCTCTAGAGGGACCACAAGCTAAAAACGCGATTTTTTGTACATTCAAGGGCCATAATTCAGGAAGATACAACCGATACGCGCGAATATCGAAAGGAACCAAGATCTTTGGGTTATAAACATCTATTTCAACTTTCATCAATATCGGATCAAAATTGTGACCTCTAGGGCGTCCACATCCTTGATTTACCAGATGTTTACACTATTTGCGTATGAGGGGTGGCCATTTTGTCCAGCAGTTTTGGCCCAATTTTCACGAAGTTTGACGTCAACAAACATTATGGTGTAATGGTGATATATTGGAACGTTTTTTTAAATCGAATAATAATTGTGACCTCTAGAGGGACCACAAGCTAAAAACGTGATTTTTTGTACAACCAGAGGCTATAATTCAGGAAGTTACCATTCGATATGTGCGAATATTGAAAGGAACTAAGATCGTTGGGTTATAAACTTGCATTTCAAGTTTCATCAAAATCGGATCAAAATTGTGGCCTCTAGAGGGTTCACAACTTTGATATACCAGATGTTTACACTATTTGGGTACGAGGGGCAGCCATCTTGGTCCGATTTTCATGAAACTCAACCTCAGACAAAATTACGGCGTAACGGTGATATATTTGAACGTTGTTTTTAAATCGGATAATAATTGTGACCTCTAGAGGGACCACAAGCTTAAAACAAGATATTTCGTACAATCAGGGGCCATAATTCAGGAAGTTATGATTCGATATGCACGAAAATAGAAAGGAACCAAGATATTTGGGTTATAAACATGCATTTCAAATTTCATCAAAGCTAAAAATGCGATTTTTCGTACAATCAGGGGCCATAATTCAGAAAGTTATGGTTCGATACGCGCGAATATCGAGAGGAAATGAGATCTTTGGGTTATAAACATGTATTTCAAGTTTCATCAAAATCAAATGAAAATTGTGACCTCCAGAGGGTCCACAACCATGATATGCAATATTTTGACACTATTTGCGAACGAGGGGTGGCCATTTTGTTTGTCAGTTTCGGTCCGATTTTTACGAAATTCGATCTCAACCATTCTTAGGGTGTAACAGTGATATATTTACATGGTTTTTTGAATCGGATAAAAATTGTGACCTCTATGGGGTCCACAAGCTAAAAACGCGATTTTTCGTACTACAATCAGGGGCCACAATTCAGGAAGTTATGGTTCGATATGCGCGTATATCAACAGGAACCGAGATCTGTGGGTTAAAAACATACATATCAAGTTTTAACAAATTCGGAAAAAAATTGTGACCTCTATAGGGTCAACAAACTAAAAACATGATTTCTCGTACAATCAGGGACCATAATCCATGAAGTTACGGTCCGATGCATGCCAATATCGAAAGGAATCGAGATCTTAGGGAGATAAACTTATATTTCAAGTTTCATTGAAATCAGATAAAAATTGTGACCTGTAGAGTGTCCACAAACAATTGTGGGCGGACAGGCGGATGTCCGGGCGGAAGGGGCGACGACAATATACGTCGACATGAAAATGTATGCGAATAAAAAGACAAATCAGTGCCGGACAAAATGACAGGCACCATAGAATTTATGCCTGACAAAGCCTGAATCTGTGCCTGACATTGTCTGTGACGCTGATAAGCAATTTGATTGGTCAAAACTTTGGAACATAACAACTCTGCTTTTAACTGAGGTAGAATGTTTATGTAGATGTTTATTAGGTGAATGTCTTGACTGAGTTCAATGATTAACATTTCAAACTAAAGCTAAGTAGGGCTAATCAATTTCATTGGTCGATGATTTGGGACAAGATAATCTTGATTCTATTTGATAGAGAGTGATGAAACTTAGTGTATAGTTTGATTGTTCGCTAGTTTTGAAACAAATAAATGTGCGATTAATTAATATGTGTCATCTTTATATGGTGGGATTTCGGCAATAATTTATTTTCGGGCAATGAAAAATTCCACGACCTTTTTTTTCTATTAACGTTTAGAGAAAAAATATAACTAACTTATTTCTATGAGATCCACACTGCCCGAAAAGTATTTTCTCGTCTTTTTCTTGTCCACTGCATGCCCGAAAATATGCCCAAAGCTCTCTTATGATATGTATGCCCGAAAAAACGGTATTGATTTCGGGCAATTTTCTCTTATGCCCCCCTGAATTACCTTGAGCTCCTACGCCTATGATTTCGGCGGGGGACATCAGCCGCACTGTTGGCTTGTTATATTAGTTTTGTCATAATATTTATTATAAATAAACAAACCAGCGGCTGCCAGGCAGGATACGCCCACATTTTCGAGAGATGGATAGAGAACAAGCTAAAAAGAAAGCGATTTTTCGTACAATCAAGGGCCATAATTCAGGAAATTACAATTCGATATGCGCAAATATTGAAAGGAACCGAGATCTTTGTGTTATAAACTTACATTTCAAGTTTCAACAAAATCAGATAAAAATTGTGACCTTCATAGGATCCACAACCTTGATATACCATATTTTTACGCTATTTGAGAACGAAGGGCGGCCATTTTGTCTGTCAGTTTTGGGTCGATTTTCACGAAATTCGAACTCAGCCGTCCTTAGGGTGTAACGGTGATATAATAATATGTTTTTTTAAATCGGATAAAAATTATGACCTCTATAGTGTCCACAAGCTAAAAACGCGATTTTTCGTACAATCAGGAGCCATAATTCAGGAAGTTACGGTCCGATATGCACGAATATCGAATGGAACCGAGATCTCTGGGTTTTAAACTTACATTTCAAGTTTCAACAAAATCGGAATAAAATTGTGACCTCTATAGGGTCCACAACCTTGATATACCATATTTTTACACTATTTGAGAACGAATGGCGGCCATTTTGTCTGTCAGTTTGGGGTCGATTTTCACGAAATTCGAACGCAGCCGTCCTAAGGGTGTAACGGTGATATAATAATATGTTTTTTTAAATCGGATAAAAATTATGACCTCTATAGGGTGCACATGCTAAAAACGCATGACAATCAGCCCAAAATTGTGGACGGACGGATGGATGTTCGGACGGACAGGGGCGACGACAATATACGTCCACATGAAAATGTGGGCGTATAAAAAGTGATTAAAAATGACAGATGGTTATTTACTATGTATTATTTATTATCTTTTCACTACAATACATTGAATCTGTTTTTAGTGAATTACAGGAATTTATCTTTAATAATGATAATTACACAAGACTAATGCTAAAGCAAAGACATGTTTTACAAAACAAATTGACAAGGTTAGGAAAGTTTTCAGATACATGTCTAAGGTGTAACCTAAATAATATTCATGATGGTCCTATTGTTAAAGATACATTATATAAGAGCTAAATCTGCCAACCGGTACAGCAGGTCTTTTTTCTGGCTTCAAATGTTATACAATTTATTATTTGGACATTTATTCACATTACAAGTTTAATGATCTCTATTTTTATTTTAATAACTTTATTATTATTTTAGCATTCTCTGAGATTCTATCCAGATTATTGCCCTTATTGTTAAAATTGTTTGACGTTCTATCACATAACGTCAACTGGCAGACGATCACCATTCAAGAGACAACCACCGTCAAGATTGGTCACATGAATTATGTTACTCTTTCATGTAAATCATTTTTTTTTTTTTCATTTTGAGTGAAGCCTGTATCATTACAGATCAGGGACTGTGCAGCGCAGTGGACACTTACAGCTGCCCCATGGAATCCATTTACTTGATTTGATATTTGTTGTTTATTTGTTGCACTATTATATTAGGAGTATTATTTAAGAGAGAGAGAGAGAAATGGGGTTTAACATCCACTCGACACAAACTAGGGCATTTCGGGACTAACATATGGTTTAATTTTATTTCAATAATTTTGCTTGCGCGTAGGGGGGGGGGGAAACTGGAGGACCCGGAGAAAACCCATGAGGTTGGACAGGCGACCCTTCTCCTTGTCACGTACAACCGGGGAATCGAAACCACGCCAGTTGACTCAATGACACAGCGCGCACACGCTAACCATTCAGCCATCCAACTCCCTGTATTATTTAAGACCCTACAAAAAATTATCAATGTCTACTAGTTAATTATTGAATCCAGAAGCTGTATTAACATTCGCTAATCATGCAACTCTAATGATTCCTCCAATGCCAGGTTTTAGATAAACCTAGTTAATGTCAAGGTGACTCGATATCCAAGACTTTGTTTTACGCTTCATTAATTGCATTGTGGGAAATTATCACTCTGTTCATTTTGAGTGGTTTAGTTACAGTTAAATATTAATAAATACTAAAATATATCTATTTGTATTTGTCTTTATAGGTTCTGAACCCCTACATGCAAATAACCTAAAATCTTAAAGGAATCTAACCCGTGTAAACAAATTCTAAGCTAATTTGAGGGGAGAGTTACACAATGTTTGATCAGATAGATATGCTAACGATTTTAAGTTCTAGAATGTAGTCAATCTTCTTTTCCTGAACTGCCTCAAGGAATCACTGAACCCCTTTTGAGCAAATTATTAACATAGTTTTCAAGGTTTAAATGGGAGTCAATTAACACACCAAGGTTTTTAGGTACAACGGAAAGTTGAACAATATTGTTGTTAATTGATTGGTTAATTTCTTGAGTCGTAATATGTGTGCAATTTTCACTTCATTTAATTTGAGCCTGTTACATTCCTCCATAATTTAATATCAAATAATTTTATTAAGATTGATGTGAAATTGATACAAAATGTTATAATAAACACTTGATTCAAGTACATATCACTTTTATATGATCATTTTAGGTGCTCTTTAAAACTGAACTAATTACTTCCATCTTCAGTTTAATGACTAACTAAAATGTTTGAATAAATACTTACTACATATTTAATAGTAAAGTTCTTAATATCTATGTCATCTAATATCTCATAGGCATCACTCGCTTCCTTACTGGAAATACAATATACAATTCATACATTAAATCAAAAAATATGAAACCACAGCACACCATCACGTTTTGCAAAAAACTGGTAAAAAATAGAATGACTATTGCTAACCAAAGCTGTATATGGGGAAAGTTCTGAAAACCATGACGCAAGAAATTTCTAACAACATCATGAAAATATGACGTCAAACGTACACTGACACGAGTTTGAGTCCTAAGTAACTGTACCTACTCACTATTTATAGGCCCTACTATACTGTTGTTTCGTTGTTGGCTGTTCCAACAGAAAATAAAAGGAACATGAAAGCATTTGTAATATATCGAAGCAGAGTTTTAGCCCTTCGTACTGCACATACAGGCTCGATGAATGTTAATAAGGGGACAGAAACTGAAATTCCCCCCAAAAATTTGGGATAAACATGGGCGGTGCCCCACCCCCGTGACTGAGAATTTGGAAAATTTGCCGGCCGTTTTCCTGCTATTCCAGCCGTAAATACAGCAAGTGGTCTAATATAGCACTAATAAAGATAGCTAACTTTCATACATGGGTTTTTTGGAGGTTAGGTCCGGCCTATGTAGTTATATTTTTTCTCCCACAAAACTGTATCAGGACGGACGGACTGACAGACCGATTTTAATAGTCCCCTGCATTCTTCGAAATGCGGAGGACAAAAATAAAAGAAACATCAGATAAAAGCACTAATAAAAATAGCTAACTTTCATACAGGGGTGTTTTGGAGGGTAGTTCTGGCCTATGTAGTTATTTTTTTCTCCCACAAAAGGGTAGGCCAGAGTAAATTAATTGGTATGTTCATGTTATTTATAATTTGTAATAGTAATAATGCTTCACCATGCTTTAGGTTTTTTTATCGGACTTCATCAACTTTGTGCGGTCAGTCCTCTGCTTTTGCTCCAACTGGTAACCCGTCCCAATCAATGGACTGCAGGTGTTCACCAGATTGTTGGACTGGTATCCTATCAGCTGCTAATTACTTTCACTTTCAGAATCAAAGTTTATCAACTCAATTTTTTGAAAAATATTGGTCAATTTTGATCTCGTACTGCATTGCAATGGACGGAAAGCCTACCACCAGACCTGTCAACTCTACCGCATCACGCAGTAAAGTGCCGCGAAAAGACCTCATGTACCGCTCTACTGCGCGGTAATAGATTTCTTCCGCATTTTCAAATAAAGAGTTTTTTAATTTTATCGGCAAAACCATGGAACTAAGGGAAGAAACTCTTTGTATGTAAACAATAAAGATCGCGACTTTCGGTTATCAACATCGATTTGGGATATTGTAAGGTGTAATTTAGCTAGATTTGTTCTCAAATTTTTTTCAACCTATTTTAGAGTTAATAAAGTGGATATAATTATTGGCACGTGTTCCAAATACTCTTAAAATGCGTAGCAATAAACTAAACAAATAGCGACCAATTTACGGCAGCAATGGCTGACATTTTCGTTTGAGCGCGTACTAAGTACAGCATCTAATACAATACTTGGAATGCAACACAACCTGGAACTTTAATTTCAAGATGGGAATACGTCTCGATGATTCTGATTTACATGCAACACTCTCTCGAATAAATGTAAAAGCAGATTTACGGAATCACAGGGGAAAAAAATCCTGTACATTGAGAGGATAATCGCCATGGGGGCATGATTAAATCGATACCAATATTTTATTATTTAGTCGTTTGCAAAACTAATTTTTTACACCCCCCCTCCCATTCCTAATGTAGAAATACTATATAATCTTACATGAAACAATATTGACAAAAACTCTCGGAATGGGGAACACACGTAACAAGGATATTTTAAAATCATGCTAAGTTAAAAGAAAAGAAAAGTGGTACTGGTAGGCCTACTGCCAGTACGCTGGACTTGTAATTTTAATTATTTTTTTTTTACGTTACTAATTATTTCTTTTTGTTGGTTACATATTCAATTTTGGTTTAATTACATAAATAATTTTAGATATGGTTACCATTGCTTGTGTATATTTGATCTATTACCCATTTAATGCAATTTTTGTATTGTTGGGCTTGCAGTTCAGTGTATTATTTCTAAATTAATTACCCTTAAATTGGAAGTGCGAATTTACGTGTTTTTGGAAATCTGCTGCCAAATCATGGTTTCTACTGCATTTTTTACACTAACCTACTGCATTTCAGCTCTGAGGGGTCTGCCTACCACTAATGATTGTGTCTGTCAGGTTGCGCTCACACCCTAGAGTCAATAGTTCATTGAGGCGTTCCAGTTTCATTACTGAACACATAACAGGTTTTACTAATTTCAGCTTTGAAAAACTGGTGTATATTCAATCAAAGCAATCATACATATACTCAGAATTAAGTATTTTGGCTTTTTCCTTCTATTTGCACTGTTTGTTTACTTCATTAATTCATTTAGTCGCTGATCCATAATTTTAAGACTGACTGCAGTGACTGAACTTATTTTGTTCCCCCCCCCCCCACCAACACATCCACATTTGCGCCCCTGGACTGCACTGAGGTGGAACATATAATAATAGGTAGGCCTGAACAATATAAGTGATAAAGTACAGACATAATCTGCTGTTGTCTTTTAAAGACAAAGATTCCTTGGAACCCCTAGGTTTCCATGGAAAAATATTAGTGGACATCTGGACCGACAGGGAAGACGACAATATACGTCCACATGAAAATGTGGGCGTATAATAATATTGATGATGTTGTTGCCATAGTTAAACGAATGGGTCGGACAGCCTTAATGGCCAAATCGAATATTCAGGATGCATACAGATTATTACCCATTTATCCTGGCGATTAAGAGCTCCTTGGCTTTACACTTTTTTTGCGGGTCCAGCTAATTCTTCTAAATTTTTGGATTCTTTCAATTCTTTCCTTTTGTTAGCAGATTATATAAGCCTTCCCATTAAGGCCTCAAAAACTGTTTTACCTGCGACCACTTTGACCATTTATGGTATTGAGGTAAATTCTGAGTTAATGTTAGTTTGATTACCAAAGGACAAGTTAGTCAAAATTTGTGCTGCGATTATTGCATTGAAATCATGTTGAAAAGTCATGCTCCAGCAGTTGCAATCAGTGTTAGGACTGTTAATTGTGCTACATTAGTTGTAGTACCTGGTCGAGCCTTTCTGCGACGGCTATACGATTTGACAATAAATGTTGCAAAACCACATTGTAAAATTCGGATCACATATGCAGTACTCCTTGACCTTTGACGTTTTTGAATAAATTTCATGGCCATTGCTTGTTCTTGAATGATAGCTGGCTTGCTTCAGATACGTTGAAACTGTTAACGAATGCAGCTACTTCAACCGGGTTCACTGCAGTCTTTGGTTCAAAATGATTTGCTTATTCTTGGCCTATTAATGTGATGGAATTATTCCCTATCGTTCTTACGAAATCATAAATCCTTTCAGATAACCAATGTGTTACTTTTGTTATAAACAATGCGTCGCCATTAGGGTCAAGCATATTGAAGGAAATAAAATGAAATTAAATGAAATGAAATGAGGTTTTATGTCCTACTGTTCTGCTCTGAACTGGGCTAATGAAGACGGGCATATGCCGTACAGGGAAATTTTGCCCGGACAGTGGCACTACGGCCTACTCGTATATCGATTTCCAACTGTCAAGGGATCTTTTACGTGCACGCCAATGTGTACATGGGACCTCGGTTTTTTATCTCATCCGAATGACTAGACAGCTGTCCTTGTCAGGCCCTCCGTCCTGCATCACTGACAAGGGGAAATAACGCCGGAAAATCGGGATGAACTTTATCGGCCAGTGCAGGGATCGATCACCCGACCTCCAGGCTAGCGAGCCAGCATCTTACCCACTTAGCCACTGTGACCCCTGCATATTGAAGGAAAAACAAATTTAGTGGCTGATCGTCCGACTCGTTTTCAATATCATACAGCCAGGAATTGGGCTCCATGGTTGGATCCGAAGCCTCAAAGTCGTTTGCCACAGAATGTTAACACTTTGACTTCTTCAGCTTGCTGTTTGCTTGCTCATACATTTGCTTCTAGTTCTCACGCATCTTACATCCATCAATTTTTTGGCATCCTTATTTGAAAATGGTTTGGCGATAAGCACCATTTCATCGCACCTCTCGGTTATTGCCTTTGTCCATAAATCCTTGGGTTTTGCTGACCCCTGCAATAATTTTTTGGTCCATTGCTTTTTGAAGGGAGCTAAACGGTTGACAACTTCAATTCCTACTACTCGGCTTCCTATTACGTTGCATATTTTGTTGAAACTTGTCAATGCCATATATACCAACTGTATTTAGTTGTCGGTCGCAACAAATTTTGTTACAGGCTTTGTTTTTACTAACTATTGGAGATCTTTTTTTTCGCATTGGCAAATTAGTCGTTAAGACACAGTCAAACTTATCTCATGTAGTACAAATATCTCACATTCAGTTCAGTTTCAACCAAAATAGCTTAATTGCTTTGCAACTCTCACTGCATCATTTCAAATATCAGCCGTCCACAGAACCAATGTTATATCATTTTAAATGTTCTTGTAGATCATTGGTTCAATCATGTGCCCCTTGTTTGTATGTTCGGTTCTTTCCCTCATTCTACTGGCCCACTGTTCCAATGGCATAATGGAACCTCAGTATCTTATCAGTTTGTCAGCACTTGCTTAATCCACCTAATGGCATTCATTGGTTTAGACACCACTTGTGTTAAATTACATTCCTTTTTCATTGGCGCTGCAACCACAGCATTTTTAAACGGACAATCAGAAGCTCAAATCAGACTGTTTGGGCGGTGGCATAGTAACACAGTACGTTCTTATATTCGCCTTCCTGTCCTCAAACTTTAGATCCCTTCGGAAAACCTTGTATTAACAGGAGTTAAAGTTGTTGTCAGTGTAGGCTGCCACAGTGTCTCCATGTTCGTTATCACTCTCATCCGTATATTACAAAGTTATGTGTTTTTTCCTGTATTATTGTTATGGATTATATGTGTTCTATCTTGTATATCATTTGCATGCGTAGTTGTTGGATCTCATTGTATTAAATTGTTACAGTGCCATTATTTATGTATCACAATGACAGGTATTAATAGGGTTAAGTTCACAGTCAGTGTAGGCTGGTACAAATTTTTTCTTGTTATTTAGCCCAGTGTTGTTTTATCTTGCTTTCTACCTTGTATATCATTTTGCATGGATAAGTTTGAGATCTCATTGTATTGAAGTGTTGTCAGGGCCTTTATTTGTACCACAGGTATCTTTGCTCTAAAAGATCTTATATTGTATCACAGTATTCACTTTTATATCAGTTTGTAGTATTTTGTTTATATTACATAGTCTTAGCATTTCTATCAATAGTATGTTTCCGTAGTAGTTCGGTCATATTGTATATCACATTGCTTGGCTACCCCTTATTTTACATAGTATATTACTATGGTGGGCAGACATTGTTCATTATGGTCAGTGTCCTTTGTTGGGCTAGACATCCTATGCTGCAGGGGGTCCAGCTGTGGATGCTTTTGGCATAAATGGGGGATCTAATTTAGCCCAACATGATTCATAGGTGGGATTGGGGGGGGGGGGGGGATGTTGATTGAGGCACACACATATGAATTCCTCTGACTTGTAATAGCAGTTTTATAACCAATCTCTTACAAATGGAAACCAGGCTTAAAAATACTTTTAATTCCCAACTGTCAGGCAACAGCTCAATGACATCGGACAGTGTTCACCCCTATGTTCAAGGTCAAGACATAACTTATGATATCTATAATATTTACCCTAATTCCTTCATGTTTTCACCAAGTTGAGACATTGTTAAAAATTCATCAATACCAAAATATGTACCAGAACTAGTGATGTCATAAACCTGTCAAATATAAAGATGGAATAAATTATAACTCCCACACATAAAGTACTCCATTTTAAAGATACATTAGTTAAGAGTTTAATAATGAGTTGGTCATTCTTGCTATAATAATTCAAATAGATGATAAAAAACGAAAATATTGAAAATTTCATTCAAATTACTTCAATCTCAACCAAGTTATCATTATTTGTGGTAACCAAAGCACTGGTATAATTGGGACTTAGCCTCACTTTCCCATTTTTAAATTAAATTTTTAAATGGCGAACCGATGCCATCGAGAGTCGATTATGGTCTTGTTTGGTTAATAAATGTCTAATTAATAGTTTTTATAACATTTCAGGCCTAAAGAAAGACCTGCAATAGGCAGATTTAGCTCTTGCATAGTGTATGTTTAAAACTTCCCATCATTCATATTTAAATATAACAGACAGAACTATTACCAACACTTAAACTTCCCTTTTATGGCTTTTCTAGTTTTACAGGCCTTATAAACCGATAGCCATACAAATACACCTACTCAGCAGCTATGTCTGCAAACCAAATTTGATAAGGACTGCCTTCAAGAAATCATAACCCCATGGAGTTTACAAGCTTTTCGGGACATGTGCTATCAACAGGATTCATCCTTGTCTTATGCGATGCAATGTGACTGTATTTTGGGTTTGGCACAACTATAGATGCAACAGAATGCAACTGAGAGTTGCATGAAAAATGCAGCAGTAATATGAAGCAAATGGCAGGCCGTTTTCTCACTCGAGAATCCGATTACGTTTCCAACCAATTGTGATAATATAAATTAAAATAAAAATATGTGATTCGGGATGCTTCTATATTTCACATGCCCTATGAATTCAACTCTCAAGATATTTAATTCTCTATGAAAAGAACTGTCAGCCATTTTTTTTTTTTGAAACGAAACATCAAATAATCATCACTTGGATAAACACCTAAATAATGACTTGAGATAGGCTTTACAATAGGCAATTATCAATCAACTAATCATTAATCCGAGACAATTGGTAAGTATTACTCATTGATACGCTCCAGATTATCAGCGAGTTGATTAATTTATAGTATGCCTGCCACGTGATTGACACTCAATGTAATGGTTAATCTAGGATACGACTAGAATTTTTAAGATTTTTTTCCACCAGTTCCTGAAAAAATCGCCAGTACATCAAATTGTTATCGCCAAAATTATCTCCCAAATCCAATTTTAATCGCCACTTTGATATTTTTATCGCAAATTGCAACTTTGCCAACCGACAGTGTGAGCCCTGGCTACAAGTATCACAAGTGGTTGCTATGCTCTCATTGTCCTAATGCTTCACATGGAATTTGATAAATATCAGTTAAAAACAGATTCAAGATTTACTTTTATAATTTAGTATGTCATACATATGCTGACAAAGACTCAGTTTTAAAAATAGTGTTCATATTGTACAATGATCCAAATATAAATTATTTTATGTTGATTATAACATTAAACATACATTATGCAATGATCTAAATTATTAATAAGATATTAATTAACTTGTCCAGACAATAATCAAATCTCAATGCCATCGCTAGCCTGCGATATTTAGCGGCTTGGAATACATTTTGTAAAGGATAATTAAACGTAAAGATGGATATTCGAGATTTTGTTTTTTATCACACCAACTTGGTATAACATACTTTTACATTTTTTTTTTGAACAGGGAATGGCCATTTTGTCAGGCAGTTTCAGTTCGATTTTCAGGAAACACGAACTGAACCATCATTATGGTATATGAAGGATTTTTTTTTAAATCAAATGAAAATTGTGACCATGTCCAATACATGCCAATATCAAAAGGAACCAAGATCTTTGGGATGAGAATTAATGTGGGCATATAACCAGAGATGGATCGAGAACAAGCTAAAAAGAAAGTGATTTTTCCTACAATCAAGGGCCATAATTCAGGAAGTTAAGATCTGATATGCACAAATATCGAAAGGAACCAAGATCTTTGGGTTATAAACATGCATTTCAAGTTTCATCTAAATCAGATTAAAGTTGTGACCTCTAAAGGGTCTACAACCTTGATATACCATATTTTTATAGTATTCGCGTACAAGCGGCAGTCATTTTGTTCGGCAGTTTTGGTCCAATTTTCACGAAATTCGAACTCATCCTTTTATTATGGTGTTACGATGATATATTCAAACGATTTTTAAAATCAGATAATAACTGTGACCTTCAGAGGGACCACAAGCTCAAAAAGCCGATGTTTCGTATAATCAGGGGCCATAATTCAGGAAGTTACAATCCGATATGCGACAATATCGAAAGAAACCAAGATCTTTAGGTTATAAACATGCATATCAAGTTTCATCAAAATCAAATTAAAATTGTGACCCTTACAGGGTCCAGAACCTTGATATACCATATTTTTACACTATTCGCGTACAAGCGGCGGCCATTTTGGTCCGATTTTCACGAAATTCGAACTCAACCTTCCTTACGGTGTAACAGTTATATAATCCGATAATAATTGTGACCTCAAGAGGGACCACAAGCTAAACCTGCGGCTGCCAGGCAGGATACGCCCACATTTTCGAGAGATGGACAGAGAACAAGCTAAAAAGAAAGTGATTTTTCCTACAATCAAGGGCCATAATTCAGGAAATTACGATTCGATATGTGCAAATATCGAAAGGAACCAAGACCTTTGGGTTATAAATTTACATTTCAAGTTTCAACAAAATCGGATAAAAATTGTGACCTCTATTGGGTCCACAACCTTGATATACCATATTTTTACGCTATTTGAGAACGAGAGGCGTCCATTTTGCCAGTCAGTTTTGGGCCGATTTTCACAAAATTCGAACTCAGCCGTCCTTAGGGTGTAACGGTGATACACTAAAACGTTTTATTAAATCGGATAAAAATTATGACCTCTATAGGGTCCACAAGCTAAAAACGCGATTTGTCCTACAATCAAGGGCCATAATTCAGGAAATTACAATTCGATATGCACAAATATCGAAAGGATCTGAGATCTTTGTGTTATAAACTTACATTTTAAATTTCAACAAAATCGGATTAAAATTGTGAACTCTATAGGGTCCACAACCTTGATATACCATATTTTTACGCTATTTGAGAACGAAGGGCGGCCATTTTGTCTGTCAGTTTTGGGGCGATTTTCATGAACTTCGAACTCAGCCGTTCTTAGGGTGTAACGGTGATATAATAATAAGTTTTTTTAAATCGGATAAAAATTTGGCCTCTATAGATTCTATAAGCTAAAAACACGATTTTTCGTACAATAAGGGGCCATAATTCAGGAAGTTATGGTCTCATATGCGCGAATATCGAAAGGAACCAAGATCTTTGGGTTATAAACATGCATTTCAAGTTTCATCAAAATCGGATCAAAATTGTGACCTCTAGAGTGTCCACAAGCTAAAAATGCAATTTTTCGTACAATCAGGGGCCATAATCCATGAAGTTATGGTCCGATACATGCCAATATCGAAAGGAACCGGGATCTTAGGGAGATAAAGCTATATTTCAAGTTTCGTTGAAATCGGATAAAAATTGTGACCTGTACAGTGTCCACAAATAAATTGTGGACGGACGTCCGGACAAACATGGGCGACGACAATATAAGTCCACATGAAAATGTGGGCGTATAAAAAGGCGATTTTTCGGACAATCAGGGGTCATAATTCGGGAAGTTACAATCTGATATGCGCAAATATCGAAAGAAACCAAGATCTTTAGGTTATAAACATGCATTTCAAGTTTCATCAAAATCGAATTAAAATTGTGACCTCTACAGGGTCCACAACCTTGATATACCATATTTTTACACCATTTTGTCCGGCAATTTCGGTCCGATTTTGACAAAATTAGCACTCAACCTTCCTTACGGTTTAACGGTGATATAATCAAACGTTTTTTTAAATCGGATAATAATTGTGACCTCCAGATTTTTCAGACAATCTGGGGCCATAATTCAGGAAGTTACGTTCTGATGGGCGAAAATCTCGAAAGGAACCAAGATCTTTGGGTTATAAACATGCATGTCAAGTTTCATCAAAATCGGTTCAAAATTGTGACCTCTATAGGGTCCACAAGCTAAAAATGTGATTTTTCGTACAATCAGGGGCCATAATCCATGAAGTTTCGATCCAATACATGCCAATAACGAAATCAGCCAAGATCTTTTGGGGATAAACCTATATTTCAAGTTTCGTCAAAATCAGATAAGAATTGTGACCTGCATAGGGTCCACAAACAATTGTGGACGGACAGACAGACGAATGTCCAGACATATGGACGTCCGGACGGACAGGGGCGACGACAATATACGTCCACATGAAAATGTGGGCGTATAAAAAGTCATTAATTTCACTCCAGTTGTCTAAAATTGAAAGTGTTTTTGTTACTTTAATTTAGTGAATTTCTGTGTTGCACATTTGTCGTGCTGTTTTTTTACAGTTAGGCAGGCTTATCCCTCCTCCAGCCTCTCACACCCGTTGGGATTGGATATTGTGCTTCCCAGCTTTTTACGATAATGTTCTTGTCATTTTTATGATAATGTTCTTTTCATTTAATAATATAATATTTTGTTTTTCATATTGCCTGTTTTAGTCTGAATCGAGTAAGGAACATGATGTTAGGGTAACTATTAATTGTTGCCAATTGGAATAGTCATGTTTCAGTCATTTAATATAATAAATTGACATTTTACACCACCAAGTTCTTTTTGTATAGGCCAGGGGAATGTTGTCTGAGCCTGAAAACACAAGTACAAATCCAAAATCTTCAAATTCATCCAATGCCTAAAATTACGAAAATGGCAGCCTTTTTGGGAAATTGTCTTTAGCAATGACCCTAAATGGACACCCATGCAAATTTTAGTGAAATATTGTTACAGTTACCTTCCTCGTACACCATTTTCAACATGAAGAAAGTTGACATATGTAACACAATTACCTGTTTTACAAACTGTTCTTGTTGAGGTGAAAATTTGGATGGCAATACTGGAAGCAGTTCATTATATTTCAAATGTCTAAAAAAACAAAAAGCTTTTTTTTTGAAAAAATTCAAAGCGATACATTTTTAACTTCTTTGTTGTAATATGACAGAATGAAATGTGCCGACTACTGCCAAACCCGTACCTGTTTCAATTTCATGGCAGTAATATTCCTACAAATTTACCGTATTTTTCGGGGTACAAGCCAATACTTTTTCAGCAGAAGTCCGGCCTTCGCTTTAAAACTCTGCTTCGACTTACATTCGGATGAAGGTAAAAAAAAAAATGACATTCCGAAAATGTTATTGTCAGTAACTGTCAATCCACGATGCCGAGGGACATCGTCTGCAATCGTCTAACACAAAACTACTTAAACTATTTCAATCAAAATATTTGTTGACATTTCTTAGCTTCTTTATTTCTTTATTTAACTAGCGACTGCCAGGCAAGATACGCCCACATTTTGCAAGAGATGGATAGAGGACAAGCAAAAAAAACAGCGGCTGCCAGGCAGGATACGCCCACATTTTCGAGAGGTGGATGGATAGAGAACAAGCTAAAAGGTAAGCGATTTTTCGTATAATCAGGGGCCATAATTCAGGAAGTTAGGGTCCGATATGCGCGAATATCGAAAGGAACCGAGATCTTTGGGTTATAAACTTACATATCAAGTTTCAACAAAATCGGATCAAAATTGAGACCTCTATAGGGTCCACAACCTTGATATACGCTATTTTGTCTGTCAATTTTGGGCCGATTTTCATGAAATTGGAACTCAGCCGTCCTTAGGGTTTAACAGTGATATAATAATACGTTTTTTTAAATCGGATAAAAATTATGACCTCTATAGGGTCCACAAGCTAAAAACGTGATTTTTCGTACAATCAGGGGCCATAATTCAGGAAGTTACAGTCCGATATGCGCGAATATATCGAAAGGAACCAAGATCTTTGGGTTATAAACTTACATTTCAAGTTTCAACAAAATCGGATAAAAATTGTGACCTTTATAGGGTCCACAACCTTGATATACCATATTACTTGATGGTTTGCAATCTAGATCCCTTGCTTCAGTCTCATCTATTCAAACGTTTGACTTTTCTACTTTGTACACTAAAATTCCCCATAGTAAATTAAAAGCCCGGTTGAAAGACATTATTCACAGTGTCTTTTCGTCTAAATCAGGTACTGCTAGATATCAATATTTAGTTGTAAATTACAATTCCACATATTTTGTTAAGAATCACAGTGATTCCAAAAACAAATTCACGGCCATCAAGATAATTCAGATGTTGGATTTTTTAATTGATAACATCTTTGTTGAATTTGGAGGGGAAATATATCAGCAAGTGGTTGGCATCCCATGGGCACCAACTGTGCACCTTTGCTTGCTGATCTGTTTCTCTATTCATATGAAGCCGATTACATACAGAGGCTCGTAAAAACTAATAAACGATCAGTCAGACTTTTTAATTTTACTTATCGATAAATCGATGACGTTTTATCCCTTAATAATCCTAAATTTAGTGATTATGTAGATTTCATATATCTTGATGAGCTCGAAAATAAAAACACCACTGACAGTGGCAATTATGCTTCCTACTTGGATCTGCGTCTCGATTTTGACAATTGCCATAAACTGAGTGGTAAATTGTACGATAAACGGGATGACTTTGACTTTCCGATTGTTAACTTTCCATTTATTAGTAGTAACATTCCAATATCACCAGCTTATGGAGTGTTTGTGTCTCAGCTAATTCGTTACGCGAGAGCTTGTTCCTTTTATTCTGATTTTTTAAGTAGATTGAGGCATTTGTCATCTAAGCTTCAACTACAAGGATACTTGCGCACTAAACTTATTAAAACCTTTAAAAAGTTTTATGGCCGTCATATTGATTTGATTGGTAAATATAACGTGTCTCTCTCGGCTATTATTCCAGATATATTTAATTGACACGTATATTATTACTATCTCCCTGATAATGTCTACTACATCGTTAACACAGTTCATCGCGTGCATTTTGTATACCGATAGTTCATTGGCCAATCATGCTATTTTACTGACATTTTGCCTAATAGTTTGGATGCAGCTATGGCGGGTGTGGCGCCAGGCAGGGTAAGCTTACTCTTCCGGACACCTGTTACCACTGTTTGTTGTGTATTTTGTACACGAGGAGCAGTCCATTTGCTGATTGCACTATTTTGCTTGAATACAGCGGTTTTGCCTATAGCGGTTTTTAGGACTTAGAATTCTGTCTTATGGTTTGGATTGTTCGTACTTGGTTTTATTTTATTTGAGAACGGCGGCCATTTTGTCTGTCAATTTTAGGCCGATTTTCACGAAATTCGAACTCAATTGTCCTTAGGGTGTAACGGTGATACAATACTACGGTTTATAAATCAGATAAAAATTATGACCTCTATAGGGTCCACAAGCTAAAAACGCAATTTTTCGTACAATCAGGGGCCATAATTCAGAAAGTTACGGTCCGATATGCGCGAATATCGAAATGAACCGAGATCTTTGGGTTATAAACTTACATTTCAAGTTTCAACAAAATCTGATAAAAATTGTGACCTCTATAGGGTCCACAAGCTAAAAACTTGATTTTTCGTACAAACAGGGGCCATAATCCATGAAGTTTCGATCCGATACATGCCAATATCGAAAGCAGCTGAGATCTTTTGGAGATAAACCTATATTTCAAGTTTGGTCAAAATCGGATAAGAATTGTGACCTGTAGAGTGTCCACAAACAAATTGTTCAATCAAGGGATATAATTCAGAAAGTTACAATCCAATATTCACGAATACCGAAAGGAACCAAGATCTTTGGGTTCTAAAGATATATATCAAGTTTCATCAAAATTGGATCAAAATTGTGACTTCTCGTGGGTCCACAACCGTGATATACCACATTTTTACACTATTTGTGTACGAGGGATAAAAAAGGAAGTTACGGTCCTATATTTCAAGTGTCATCAAAATCGGATAAAAATTGTGACCTGTAGAGTGTCCACAAACAAATTGTGGACGGACAGACAGACAGACAGACAGACGGACGTCTGGACAAACAGGTACCGGTAGCGGACTGTTGAATACTAATAGGGTTCATGCTCCCATGACCAAATGGGGAACCACAGTGGCTCGGCAGGTAGGATGTTGGCTCGCTAACCTGGACAATTTCCCTCACTGTATGGCGTATGCCAGACTTCATTAGGGGGGATCCCGTGGCTCAGTGGGTAAGATGCTGGCTCGCTAGCCTGGAGGCCGAGAAAGTTCATCCAGACTTTCTTTCGTGGTTCCCCCTTGTCAGTGATGCAGGACGGAGGGCCTGACAAGGACAGCTGTCTAGTCCTTCGGATGAAATGAAAAACTGAGGTCCCGTGTATACATTGGAATGCACGTAAAAATTCCCTTAGCAGTTGGAATTCGATATAAGAGTAGGCGATAGTGCCGCTGCCCGGGCAAAATTTCCCTCATAGCTCACTGTATGGCATATGCCCATCTTCATTAGCCCAGCATAGGAGCAGATCAGTAGGACGTTAAACCCTATTTCATTTCATTTCAGTCTTCATTAGACCAGTAGGAGCCATTTCATTTCATTCCCATGACCCAATGCTTCACACCCAATTTGAAAAAAAAAAGCTTCTATTGCGTTAAAAATGTTTTTTGACAATGGGGATGTAACTCAGGAACTGACGGTCACAGAGAACTGAAAATCATTAGAGTTCGTCCTCTCATGACCTGTATCAACTTTGCCAAAAACCAATAAGGTTTATCTCCATGACCCCAACACTTCACACCAAATTTGAAAGAAATGTATTAAAAACCGTAGCCTCTATCGCGCTAACAAGGTTTTCGGCCAAGAGAAATAACTGTGGAACTCTATCATGTTAACCAGGTTTTTGGAGAAGGAGGGTGGGGGGACTCAATAAGGTGCGTTTTCTCACAACCCGAAGGCTTCCCACCAAATTTGAAAACATTCTGCTAAATACTGTAGTCTCTAAATACTGTAGCTTCATTCACGTTAAAAACTGGTGCCCGATAGGGGAGGTAACTCAGGGCTGAAGGTTTCTGGGTGCTGAAATTAAGTGACATTCATCCTCTCATGACCGGGGGGATCACGTGGCGGCTAAGTGGGTAAGACGCTGGCTCGTTAGCCTGGAGGTCGGGTGTTCGATCCCTGCATTGGCAGAGAAAGTTCATTCAGATTTTCCGGCGTGGTTTCCCCTTGTCAGTGATGCAGGATGGAGGGCCTGACAAGGATGGGACGAAAAACCGAGGTCCCGTGTACACATTGGTGTGCACGTAAAAGATCCCTTGGCAGTTGGAATTCGATATAAGAGTAGGCCGTAGCGCCGCTTCCCAGGCAAAATTTCCCTCGTAGCACACTGTATGGCGTATGCCCGTCTTCATTAGCCCAGGTTAGGAGCAGAACAGTAGGACGTTAAACCCCATTTCATTTCATTTCATCTCTCATGACCCCAATGATTCACACAAAATTTGAAAATAATCAACATTTAGAACCTATTAACTTTTTATCATCATTTATTTTAAAGGAATTTTAAGACATCCACAATCTTATTTCATTATTTCATATCATATATACAGTAAACTTTGAATAAGTCAGATCTAAGTGGACTGACCAATTTTATCCAAGTTAAGCAAAGGTCTGAGTTAGGCAAAGACCAAAATTCAATCTTAGCTCAATTAGAAATAAACTGCAAGAGCCAGATAATAATTGATTTAATGGCACATTTCAAGCTTTTGTTCGTATGTGCGTGTAAATAACTTTCGTTTTGGTGCGAGTAGATAACTTCCGTTTTGCCGCCATCTTTCCCGGAAAGTGTCTCGTACAGCAGACAGCGAGTTTCGAATTTTCTGGGAAAATTGTATTATTGCATCGTGTCAAATAGGCTGATTTGAGTCAAATTGATAGGGGAAAGTATTTTGGGGCTCTGTGCATGGAATACCTAACCATGTTTTAGACCATCGGGACGAAACTGACTTGGTCAAATTCTGAACATATTGCCAATCCGACATAGGCAAAGGAAAAAAGACGGAATTAGATCCAATGGAACATTTTGATCCGAGTTGAGCAAAGATCCGACTTATGCGCAGAAATTTAATAAGAAAAACGTGCAGGATCAAAGGGTTCAAACAATTTTATCCGAGTTGAGCAAAGATCCGACTTATACGAAGTTTATTGTAATTATTGAGACTATACTATATAATCACCCATCTGAATCAGCATCAAGTCTTTCAAACGTTTCTCTTAAAGCTTGTTTTTGATCGTCCGGTACAGTTGACACAAGTTCTGATCCCTACAGAAAAAAAGAAAATAACCAATGGGAAACATCATCTTTCTATTTACATGTGTCAATACATTTTCGTTTAGGCGGACATAAGATATAATATCATAGAATAATTTCTTCAAAAATAAAATTAAACATGGTGAGGAACCCTGGCTTTAAAGACATGAAATGGTGATATTGCAGACAAAACAACTGACTTACTTTTAAAGGATATGGTGTTAAAGGTTGTGTTTTATTAAGTGATTGAAGACTAGCACCGCCGGCTGTAGGTGGTGGTGGTCCAGGACTCACATTATCTCCCTCAGATCTAAAAATGTAGCAATAAGACAATTCTTTAAACACTTAATCGCTGACTTTTGATAAGTTCAGATAAGTCGTACTGACAAGACGTGATTGTAGTCGTTCCAGTGTGCAGAAAATTGTGACAAAAATTTATTATACATTAAAAGTCATCACAATCCAATTTATTATATATTAAAAGTCATCACAATCCAATATCCATAAAAGAAGACTTACCAATGTTAGAGGTATTTGAATTAATCAAAAACAACAGTGCAACATTACATAGATTGGAACAACTTGTTACCAAATTCGATAATAGAATAGTAATGATGGAGGGAAATATACAAAAGATAGATGAAGTGTACTCGTTAGTTTTAAATCTGTTCAAAGTGAGTAGTCCTGATCGAGACAAACGTGAATGAAAAAAAAAGCTAAACAGGTGAATTTTGAAACAAGCTCAATTTGGTTAAATAAGAAACATATCAAAATATTAAAAAATGTGAAGAAAATAGACTGAAATTGGATGGTTTGGAAAAAGAAGTTATAGTGTCCAAATCTGTGAGCTCATATAACTCTGAAGAGATTCAATGAATGAAAGGATGAAATACAACCTTGTTTTTAATGGCATAAAAAAAAAAGATGCAAATGAGGATAGAGAGTATGGAATAAAAGACTTTATTGTCCCCCGCCTTTCGAAGAAAGCAGGGGACTATTAAAATGGGTTCGTCCGTCTGTCTGTCCGTCTGTCTGTCCGTCACACTTTTTGGGACACAATAACTCTCTTCCTAATTGAGCTAGAATGTTCAAACTTGGTGTATGTGTTTATTAGGTCAATGCCTTGATGGAGTTCGAAGATGAGCATTTTCCGCTTAGGGTAAGCAGAGATAAGCAATTTGATTGGTTGATGCTTTGGGACACGATAACTCTCTTCCTAATTGGGCTAGAATGTTCAAACTTGGTGTATGTGTTGATTAGGTCAATGCCTTGATGGAGTTCGAAGATGAGCATTTTCCGCTTAGGGTAAGCAGAGATAAGCAATTTGATTGGTTGATGCTTTGGGACACGATAACTTTTAATTGAGCTAGAATGTTCTAACTTGGTGTATGTGTTTATTAGGTCAATGCCTTGTTAGTAACAACAGTTGGCACTGGAAAGACACGCCGCGTGCGCAATAGTGCATCGATATGAAGGCATACAAATTGTTTACGGCTTTTTATATTACGATATTCAATTATTTCTGATTAAATTATTTTTTATATTTGCGCGAGTACTTAATCACTCACGTAAATTTGGTTTTACGCGAGTGTAGCATGCGTGCGAGTAATTACTCGCGTCTCGTGGCAAGCCCTGAGCTAGAATGTTCAAACTTGGTGTAGGTGTTTATTAGGTCAATGCCTTGATGGAGTGTGAAGATAAGCATTTTCTGCTTAGGGTAAGCAAAGATAAGCAGTTTGATTGGTTGATGGTTTGGGACACGATAACTTTAGTTCTAATAAAGTGAGAGAGATGAAACTTGGTGTATAGTTTCATTACATCAATACCTTGACTAAGTTCGATAATGAGCATTTTCTGCTCAGGGTAAGCAGAGCGATAAGCAATTTGATTGGCTGAGACTTTGGAACACAATAACCCTCCTTCTAATTGAGCTAGAATGTTCAAACTTGGTGTAGGTGTTTATTAGGTCAATGCCTTGATGGAGTGTGAAGATGAGCATTTTCTGCTTAGGATAAGCAAAGATAAGCAATTTGATTGGTTGATGCTTTGGGACACGATAACTTTAGTTCCAATTAAGTGAGAGTGATGAAACTTGGTGTATAGTTTTATCACATCAATAACTTGACTAAGTTCGATAATGAGCATTTTCTGTTTAAGCTAAGGAGTGATAAGCATTTTGATTGGTCAAACTCTTCTTCTAATTGAGGTGGAATGTTTAAACTTGATGTAGATGTTCGTCTTGACTGAGTTCAACAACCCTTCTTCTAATTGAGGTAGAATGTTTAAACTTGATGTAGATGTTTGTCTTGACTGAGTTCAATGATTAACATATTGAGCTAAAGCTAAGCAGAGATAAGCAATTTCCTGCTTTGGGACAAGATAACTTTGATTCTATCTGATAGAGAGTGATGAATCTTAGTGTATAGTTGATAATCAGTTTGATTGCTCGATACTTTGGAAAAAAATAGATGTGCGATTAATTAATATGTGTCATCTATTTATTTGGGGATTTCGGCGGGGGACATCAGCCTCACTGTTGGCTTGTTTATCATAAGTTAGGTATAGATCTGCATATAGATTTTATAAATGTACACCGTTTTGCTTTCTTTTGTACAGCTAGACACAGTAGCTGATCTAGAAACTGTGAATAAGGTGGGTGGGTGCCATCCACAATCCCACCTCACATTTAATGTCAACAAAATACTGGCTATAACACTGTCTGAGAGCCCTGGTGGTACATACATCGTACCGCCTATAATAGTAAGTGCAGGGGGACTGCACCACACATAATTTACACAGAAACAAATACATGGACAAGATATCATACTCAGAAACCACAAATAAACAAACAATTAAAAAAAGTGAATGGATCCGGGGGCTAGCCGTAAGCGTCCACTGCGCTATACAGTCCAGGGCCTGTAGTGATACAGACTTAACTCAAATTTGAAAACAATCAGGAATACAGCCCAAAGAAACCATTGTGTAATGCCAGTATGAGTCATGATCTGCTGTATGCTACAAGAAATACGAATATAAACATATTGTAGTAAAATTCAACTATACAACCACATCGATGAAATGTATTAAAATGTAGTCTAAAACTAAATGCTCTAAATCAATCAAGAAACGTTTAGGTATTCAATGGAATCGAGTTATATAGTTGTTCAACGATCGTCATCTCGCCGAAAAGAAGTTTTATTCATGTTGACATAAAGTTAATGTCCCATTATGATTGTTATTGATTTTTGTCAACCTTAGAGAAGTGACTACAACACTAAGCAACCTGAAGGGGGGAGGAGAAAATTTTGAAAATTTGAGTCAATATCCTAGCTTTTGCGGACATTGCTGGGAGCAAATTCTTGTGAATGAGAGGATTAGAAATGGGAGTGAATGGGACAGAACCTTGAAATTCGGCCCGTCAAGTCCACCTGTTTTGTGAGAGTTAACACAAAGTCTGTACAGTCTGACGCCCCACGCAATATTGGTACTACTAACTGGGCGGTTCACTATAATTGTGAATATGATAGTGACGAGATAGGGTAAGACCACAAAGGAGTGGAGGAAGAATGATGCTATGGATGGAATAGAGTGTCGTAGTCGTGAAAGAATTTCAGATAGCACAAAGTCTGTACAGTCTGACGCCCCACGCAATATTGGTACTACTAACTGGGCGGTTCACTATAATTGTGAATATGATAGTGACGAGATAGGGTAAGACCACAGAGGAGTGGAGGAAGAATGATGCTATGGATGGAATAGAGTGTCGTAGTCGTGAAAAAATTTCAGATACCAACATATAATATGTAAGTAGTAGTTATTAGCACACTTTCCTTGGTGTATCGGTGAAGATCAGGACAGTTTTGGTCGAGGGGCCTTGGCTCGGAAAACTGTCCTGATCTTCACCGATACACCGAGGAAAGATGCTAATAAGTCACTTACATCACATTTCTATCGAGTATTGTGAAGTGAAATGTGAAAAATAGTATTTATTATGGAGTCATGTCAAGCGAAATCGGACAAATACTTTCTGCTCTTTAATTTATCTCTTTCTGTGCCTCACGTTACATTTCGTGGTAGAATGATTTCTCAGTGAGAAATGACCAGAGTAGTATTTACACGTGCGTATTGCTGCGTTACCCTGAGGGTAAAACAGTTGTGTGTTTTTCTTTAGACTGCACTCCGTATTGAAAGACGAAGTTGTTTTGACAAAATCAGTGAACATAGAGCCAACCACATCGTCAAAACAACTTGTCCCTGGCATAGAGGACTGCAATTATATTAAACGTAATATACTATTCAAAAAAAGTAGGGGATATTTGATTTTGGGGGCATAATACTAAAATATGCAAATGACTACGAAAAAAGTCACTATAGAACCTAACAGAAGAAACATTTCCAGTTACATGTGACGCCCAAACGCACCAATAGCTACCGCATGGAATGCAGGTGATGCTTGGGATCATCATGGGGGTCCAACCCAAGATTTGCACAACTCTGACTTTGAATGTTACAGTCATTGTGGCATTGAATTCCAGGGTGGAAACATCAGTTTAATTGTTTTAGTGACCAGAAAACAAATTTTGATATGCGTCGGCTTACCCAAAATGAAAGGTTACGTGCCCTTGGCATGCTACAGATCGGCACAACACAGGCGGTTGTGGCACGGACGATGAATGTTTCTCAGTCTGTCATAAGCAGGACAGACCACGCTCAGGTCGACCAAGGACGACAACTCAAGCCCAGGATCGATTTATCCGTACCTTGGCCTTGAGAAATCGTGTCATCACAGCAAATCAGATCAGCGCTCGTCTTCAAACAGACACTGGTGTGAGAGTGAGTGGCCAGACGATTCGGAATCGACTGCATAGGGGTCACCTTTGCGCCCGACGTCCTCGCGTGATCCCTTGTTTGAAAGATCATCACATTCAGGCAAGACGTCGTTGGTGTAGGGATCGTCAACACTGGGATAATCGACGCTGGAGCAATGTGATGTTTTCAGATGAGTCAAGGTTCACTGTTGATTTTTTGGACAGACGTAGGAGGGTGTGGCGTCGTCGAAACGAGCGCTTCCAAGACGTTAACGTCATCAGACATGATCGATTTGGGGGTGGTTCTGTTATGGTGTGGGGAGGCATCACTGTTGCTGGAAGAACGGCTTTACATGTTGTTGCAGGGCGTGTTACAGGCCAGTACTATCGGGACAACATCTTGGCAGTCCATGTTGTGCCGTTCGCACGACGTCATGGCCGCCGTTTCATCTTCCAGGATGACAACGCAAGATGTCACAGGGCCAGGATCGTTACAGGTTACCTCCAACAACAGAACATCACCACATTACCTTGGCCAGCACTGAGTCCCGACCTCTCCCCCATCGAGCATGTCTGGGACATGCTTGGACAGAGGTTACGTCAACGTCAACAACGTCCTGCCAATGTCCAAGAACTTGCTGCTGCGTTGCAACAGGAATGGGACAATCTGGACCAAAATGACCTTAGACGTCTCATTAGGAGTATGCCACGTCGGATCAATGCTTGTTTGGCAAACAGAGGAGGATTTACCCGTTACTGACTTGGTTGTGATGCTGTGGTAACTTTGCTGTTTGACCCCGGGTATCATTTTACCCTTATAATGGTCAGTCTGTGCCTTACTTAGTCTAACGATCATTTGGAATAAATCGATGAATGTGAACTTCATTTCATTTTGTCATTTGTTTCTTCGTCAGTTTCATTAGGTGACTTTAATAACACTTAAAAATCAAATATCCCCTACTTTTTTTGAATAGTATATAAAGGACACTGCACAACGTGGGTCAATCCTGGTGAAATGTGCATCGGTGGATGGTTCGTCCGTTGAAATTTATTTGTAATAAAATTTATGATTTTCTAGGCGTGTGTTTTCATCCTGCTTGTATAAAAGTGTTCGTTTGTCGGAAATGAATAGTACTCTTTATGGAAAGCGTACTGTTCATTTCTGATACACGGATACTTTTATACCTGTATTGGAAATAAACAGGACAGTTTTATCAAAGGTCGCCAGTGGCAACGAGGTAGAAGTGGGATGTAATTCACACCAAATTTGACCGATGGACCTGGGTGACCTGTGGATGTATGATAAAATAGCTCAGATTTGTTTATATATTCTAATATTCTGATGCCATAATAGGAAATTGGCTATAATAATCAACTTCTTACAAGAATATAATTGTTCTGTGAATTATTAACATAACAATAAATTTCAAGTTCTTATATGCCAAGTTAAGACAATCATTAATTAGATACTAAGAATACTATGGGATCATAATGAGAACACTTACCTTGCTTCATCAGGTAATTTTATATTGACAGTTTCTTTACTACTTGATTTCTCTTGTCTGTCTTGTCTAAATATAAGTAATATATAAGTGTTCAAACATACACATTTATTTTTACAAGCAGTTTCTCAGCCTGCCTTATAAGTCCAACAGTAGCAAAGTCATCCTAGCATTTTCAACAAGCAGTTTGCCATGCAAAATACGCCCACATTTTGCAAGAGATGTACAGAGAACTAGCTAAACAATCCAACAGTGAGGCTGATGTCCCCCGCCAAAATCCTGATATAAATAGATGACACATATTAATTAATTGCATGTTTAGTATCGAGCAATCAAACTGATTATCAACTATACACAAGTTTCATCAAACTCCATCAGATAGAATCAAAATCAAAGAAATTACTTAGCCCTAGCGGGAAATGTTAATCATTGAACTCAGTCAAGACATTTACCTAATGAACATCAACATCAAGTTTAAATATACTACCTCAATTAAAAGCAGAGCTGTTATGTTCCAAAGTCTTGACCAATCAAATTGCTTATCGCTCCTGAGCCTAAGCAGAAGATTCTCATCAACCTTAGTCAAGGTAATGATATAATGAATCTATATTCAGAGTTTCATAGCTCTCACTTCATAAGTTGCCTCATTAAATAAAGATTTTATTATTATTATTATAACCCAGATCTTCGGGATATAAACATATATTTTAAGTTTCATCAACATGGGATAAAAGTTGTGACCTCTAGAAGGTCCACAACCTTTGTATTAAATATGTTTACATCACAGTGCACTCTGTCACATCCAACATCGTATGGGTTCGTTACAATATGTCGGATTACGCAGAGTGTCGGAATACCCAGTTTTCTCCAAACCGGAAATATTGTAACTTCGAAAACCGGAAGTGTTATTATAATGTAGCTTCGAACATAGAACTTCGAATCACCAGAATGTTATTCCCTTTAAAAATGATAAACCTTTCTGTACATTCAAAATTTTATTACATTAATTTTTATTTCATTTAACATGCGTAGGCATATTGAATAGGTCAAGTCTGTCGTTAATTTATCTTCTTCGCCGTCTTCAGTTGATCGCACTCTTGTCTTTGCTATCACGTGTTCATTGGGCGTACTCAATTGAACGTTCCGGAATTGAATTCTCTCAATCCCAAAAATAGTGACAATCGAGTGAAAATAGGTACTTCGGGCTACAACGCATGCGTCGACTGGATATATAAATATCTCATCCAACCATGCAGCCGAAACCTGTTCGTCGTGTTTAATTACGTCACAATTCTACTCACACCACCTCCGTCGCGGGGATTGACAGGACTGAATTCTGCGTCACTCGATTGCAATTCTATCAATTCGGGACGTTCCGGACTGTGAATCGAGGATCCCCAGGTCGTCGTTGTCGTACCGTTGGTTCGAACTCAAGAAGGTGTTCAGCTTCGAATAAACTTTATTACAGTTTTCACATTACACTAATGACTAACAATCTTTTAATCCTAGTCCCTTCTTCCATTCTCACTCACCGCCAACGACAACAGCCCAGCTTGTGTCCCTCTCACTTCCTTCTCATTGGCTATCTCTCTGTTAACACTCGACTCAATGCCTTATATGGACATACACTAAGATAACATCATACATTCGTACGGCTATCAGATTAAAGGTACATTCACACAGTTACTGTTTGTCACACCTCCCCCCTTAAAAGGCAATGCCTCCTGGCATTGGTACATTTAAAATAACCAGCGGTTGCCAGGCAGGATACGCCCACATTTTCGAGAGATGGATAGAAAACAAGCTAAAACGAAAGTGATTTTTCCTACAATCAAGGGCCATAATTCAGGAAATTACAATTCGATATGTGCAAATATCGAAAAGAACCAAGATCTTTGGGTTATAAACTTACATTTCAAGTTTCAAATTGTGATCTCTATAGGGTCCACAACCTTGATATACCATATTTTTACGCTATTTGAGAACAAAGGGCGGTCATTTTGTCTGTCAGTTTTGGGCCAATTTTCACGAAATTCAAACTCAGCCGTCCTTAGGGTGTAACAGTGATATATTAACACGTTTTTTTTAAATCAGATAAAAATTATGACCTCTATAGGGTCTACAAGCCAAAAAACGTGATTTTTCGTACAATCAGGGGCCATAATTAAGGAAGTTACGGTCCGATATGAGCAAATATCGAAAGGAACCGAGATCTTTGGGTTATAAAATTACATTTCAAATTTCAACAAAATCTGATAAAATTTGTGACCTCTATAGGCTCCACAACCTTGATATACCATATTTTTACGCTATTTGAGAACAAAGGGCGGTCATTTTGTCTGTCAGTTTTGGGCCAATTTTCACGAAATTCAAACTCAGCCGTCCTTAGGGTGTAACAGTGATATATTAACACGTTTTTTTTAAATCGGATAAAAATTATGACCTCTATAGGGTCTACAAGCCAAAAAACGTGATTTTTCGTACAAACGGGCCATAATTAAGGAAGTTACGGTCCGATATGAGCGAATATCAGAAGGAACCGAGATCTTTGGGTTATAAAATTACATTTCAAATTTCAACAAAATCTGATAAAATTTGTGACCTCTATAGGCTCCACAACCTTGATATACCATATTTTTACGCTATTTGAGAACGAAGGGCGGCCATTTTGTCTGTCAGTTTTGGGCCGATTTACACGAAATTCAAACCCAGTCGTCCTTAGGGTGTAACGGTGATATAATAATACGTTTTTTTAAATCGGATAAAAATTATGACCTCTATAGGGTCCACAAGTTAAAAACGTGATTTTTCGTACAATCAGGGGCCATAATTCAGGAAATTACGTTCCGATATACACGAATATCGAAAGGAACCGAGATCTTTGGGTTATAAGCATACATTTTAAGTTTAAACCAAATCCGATAAAAATTGTGACCTCTACAGTGTTCACAAGCTGAAAACGTGATTTTTTGTACAATCAGGGGCCATAATCCATGAAGTTACGGTCCGATACATGCCAATATTGAAAGGAACTGAGAATTTAGGGTGATAAACCTATATTTCAAGTTTCATTGAAATCGGATAAAAATTGTGACCTGTAGACTGTTCACAAACAATTGGGCGTATTCCTGTACTATTCAATAAGAAAATGAACTAAATATGCCTATACCTAACCTAGGATTTCGACAAATAATATATACTATTCAAAAAAAGTAGGGGATATTTGATTTTGGGGGCATAATACTAAAATATGCAAATGACTACGAAAAAAGTCACTATAGAACCTAACAGAAGAAACATTTCCAGTTACATGTGACGCCCAAACGCACCAATAGCTACCGCATGGAATGCAGGTGATGCTTGGGATCATCATGGGGGTCCAACCCAAGATTTGCACGACTCTGACTTTGAATGTTACAGTCATTGTGGCATTAAATTCCAGGGTGGAAACATCAGTTTAATTGTTTTAGTGACCAGAAAACAAATTTTGATATGCGTCGGCTTACCCAAAATGAAAGGTTACGTGCCCTTGGCATGCTACAGATCGGCACAACACAGGCGGTTGTGGCACGGACGATGAATGTTTCTCAGTCTGTCATAAGCAGGCTATGGTCCAGATACCGTGATACACAATCTGTACAGGACAGACCACGCTCAGGTCGACCAAGGGCGACAACTCAAGCCCAGGATCGATTTATCCGTACCTTGGCCTTGAGAAATCGTGTCATCACAGCAAATCAGATCAGCGCTCGTCTTCAAACAGACACTGGTGTGAGAGTGAGTGGCCAGACGATTCGGAATCGACTGCATAGGGGTCACCTTCGCGCCCGACGTCCTCGCGTGATCCCTTGTTTGAGAAATCATCACATTCAGGCAAGACGTCGTTGGTGTAGGGATCGTCAACACTGGGATAATCGACGCTGGAGCAATGTGATGTTTTCAGATGAGTCAAGGTTCACTGTTGATTTTTTGGACAGACGTAGGAGAGTGTGGCGTCGTCGAAACGAGCGCTTCCAAGACGTTAACGTCATCAGACATGATCGATTTGGGGGTGGTTCTGTTATGGTGTGGGGAGGCATCACTGTTGCTGGAAGAACGGCTATACATGTTGTTGCAGGGCGTGTTACAGGCCAGTACTACCGGGACAACATCTTGGCAGTCCATGTTGTGCCGTTCGCACGACGTCATGGACGCCGTTTCATCTTCCAGGATGACAACGCAAGATGTCACAGGGCCAGGATCGTTACAGGTTACCTCCAACAACAGAACATCACCACATTACCTTGGCCAGCACTGAGTCCCGACCTCTCCCCCATCGAGCATGTCTGGGACATGCTTGGACAGAGGTTACGTCAACGTCAACAACGTCCTGCCAATGTCCAAGAACTTGCTGCTGCGTTGCAACAGGAATGGGACAATCTGGACCAAAATGACCTTAGACGTCTCATTAGGAGTATGCCACGTCGGATCAATGCGTGTTTGGCAAACAGAGGAGGATTTACCCGTTACTGACTTGGTTGTGATGCTGTGGTAACTTTGCTGTTTGAGCCCGGGTATCATTTTACCCTTATAATGGTCAGTCTGTGCCTTACTTAGTCTAACGATCATTTGGAATAAATCGATGAATGTGAACTTCATTTCATTTTGTCATTTGTTTCTTCGTCAGTTTCATTAGGTGACTTTAATAACACTTAAAAATCAAATATCCCCTACTTTTTTTGAATAGTATAATATAGAGAAAATTAAATAACATCAGTGATACATGTATTAAGAAGAGGGGTCAAATCTGACTACTGGTTTTGTTTTACGACTAGATCGGCGTAATATAGGACGTGGTGAAGAAGTAGACAGCGTGGGTTGTGGTATTTTCATTCGTTGGGATTGCTTAGGAGGATCAGGTGGCTGTGCGGGTACTAGGGGTTGTGGTAGTTGGGGTAGTGGAAGCTCTGGTCTACTGTTAGGTTGTGATGACGACTCACTGGCAAAAAGCAAGATATCCTCATCTTGATCAAACGTTTTATGGCGAGTGACCTCGAACTTATTAGGTGGATTATGTTCAACAGGCTCTG